AAAGTATTTGCTTTATACTTCGCCGCTTTCAGATATCGTAAAGAAATTTAACCTGAGCTATCACTTTTATGCTGACGACTCACAGCTTTACTTGTCTTTCCAACCAACCGTACTGGGTGATAGGGATCTAGCGGTTTCTAGCATCGAGAGCTGTGTGAATGAAATTAATCATTGGATGATGGTTAATCGCCTTAAATTAAATAAAGACAAAACTGAATTATTGGTGATCTCCGCTAAACATCTTCCAAGACCACTCCTTCACGAAATTTCAGTTGCTGGTGAGACTATTCATTCCGTGCAAAAGGCGAGGAATATCGGCACTATGTTTGATAGCCATTTTTGCTTTAACGATCATATTACTGACATTTGCAAATCTTCATTTTATCATTTGCGAAATATTAGCTATATCAGGAAATATCTTTCAGCGACCACTACTGAATTGCTGGTTCATATGTTTGTATCTTCGAAGCTGGATTACTGTAATTCCCTTTTGTATGGCCTACCAGCCTACACTATAAAAAAGCTACAACACGTCCAGAATGCCGCGGCGCGCCTCGTCACACTTACAAAAAAGCATGATCACATTACGCCTGTTCTTTTCAATCTTCATTGGCTTCCCGTTAATCAACGTATTATTTTTAAGATTTTACTTATAACCTACAAGGCACTTAACAACTTGGCACCGTCGTACATTTGTGATTTGCTTACATCTTACACCCCATCGCGTCAACTACGCTCATCATCCACGCACCTTCTGGTTTCTCCATCCTATAACTTGAAAACATATGGGGCAAGATCCTTCTCTGTAGCAGCACCATCATTATGGAATGCTTTGCCAAGTGACATTAGAAATGCTCAGTCTGTGTCTGTTTTTAAAAGTAGATTAAAAACTTTTCTTTTTAGAAAAGCCTTTTATAATTAATATTAGCTGTCTTAAGTGTTAATGTTAAAGTTTTTTTTGTAGGCGCCTTTGAACAGTAGGATACTGGCGCGGAATAAATCTTTCATTATTATTATTGTTATTATTATTATTATTATTATTATTATCTGTGCCGATTTTTTTAGTGATCCTCTCGACTCAGTTGCTGGTAAAAAATAATCGATTTATATTTAAGTTCAGCAAAGACACTCGCAGGCAAGCTGCAATTTGAGCAGTTGCGGAAAAGAAAATTCCGTCTTCTTCGAGGCCTAATTTTAACTTGTGGATACGCCAAGTGTAAAAACATTTTTATGGTGACTTCGATATGAAAATAAGTTACATACTCAATCACTCTCTCACTAAGATGTAGACACTGTTATAAGTCGTCCAAACTCGCCCGACTGTTGCGCCGTCATCTTGCATTTGGAATAGTAACCGTGAATAGACGATAACCTGGCTTGTTAAAGTTTAAACTTAGATTTAAAGCCACCTTTCCAGTGAACTTAGAAATATCTATAAAAACACAAACCTAATATTGTGAATCACCTCAGTTGTGTACTGATGA